TTTTCATGTGCCTGTTGGCCATCCGGATGTCTTCTTTAGAGAGGACAACTAATATTTTTAAGCAAATCGTTAATAGAAAAATATTTAGAAAACGTTATAAGCTTACTTTCGCTGAAACTACATCTCCAAGACACACCCCCAACTCCTCCTGTCAACCAGGTTGCAGCCGCTTAGCCTCTCTTATATGGGAATTTAGGAGTTACTACTTACTCTTGGGAGAGAAGAGAGGATTCTAGGGGTTCTTCACCTCTGAACCCTTATCTTAAACATTCTTCGAAACCTACTCCTGGGGCACCTGGGTGGCTCAGTTGGTTAAGCGACCAACTCCTGATTTCCGCTCAGCTCAAGATCTTGTGGTTTGTGAGTTCGAGCCCAGCGCCGGGCTCTGTGCTGACAGCATGGGGCATGCTTGGGATTCTCTCTCCCTCTCTCTCTGCCCCTTTCCCACGCACGCACTCTCTCTCAAAAAATGAATAAGTAAACTTAAAAAAAATAAAACCTATTTCTACATGTAACCGTCCTGCAGGCCTTCTCTGACAAGAGGTGGAGGGCTCTTTTCCCTGCTGAAGGCATTTCAAACACAACAGATTTGTGTTGTGTGCTAAGCCTAGTTAGCTTGGGTGTGGATTGCTGTGTGTCCTAAGGACATTCAGATCTTCTCTCTGGGCCTCAGTGCAACAATCTGGAGAGTTAGAGTGTCAGCCTCTCAGAATTTGTGAATTGACTGGAAGACAGAGTAGCAAATGTGAGAACATTGCTGTAAGATACACACTTCTAAAGAAATTTCCATAACTTATTATTGTCATGACTTTCGGCCAACAACTCAAATCCTAGATTCCACTAACCTCCACCATCAATGCCTCCTGGGCTGATCTCAAACCTGGGCCTTTCTTTACCAATACCTATGTTGCATTCTTCTGATCTAAATTCATGTGTTCTATTAATGATTTCATCATCTGTGTCCCTGTATTCTGACCATGAATCCAAGATGCTCTTTTATCATATGTGCCCTTTTTTGATAGACAAAGAGACTAGTCATATGTTAATTTTCCACTATCAATGCCTCTCTGATCCATGTCTCAACTATTGGACCATGGTTAACTTTTCTACCATCAATGTCCTTTTGATTAGACTTCCAAAACAGACATATGTTGCAGAGGGTCTGGGTTCCAGTTCAAACCAGAGGGGAAATGGTGTTTGAAGGATAGCAGAGGCCCAATTTCAAGAACTGGACCTGAGGACCATTGAAGGTAGAGGTTCATTCACGGTGGAAGGCTGCTGACAAGACTGGGCTAACAGCCTGTAAAACAAGATGGGGATTTCTGGCAAAATCATTAACAG